ATCACAGACCTTGACGTCGTCTTCGAACTGTCCTAGTTGTTCTAGTCACCAAAGGGCAGCACGGGTAGCATGGCTGCAGAAGTGATAAAGGAATGCAAGAAATGAATGATAAAAAGATCTCCCACCACTTTAGCAACTAGCAGCGATCGAACAACAATCGCCATGAAAAATTCTGCACAGCACAGCTGGCGACGGAATGACTTTGCCGAGCCATTTCTTTTCATTCATCGATACAATAATGAGTCACCAGCACGCGAAACAACTGACATAGAAATCTTAGCCAAGCACTCATCTGTCGGACTGCTAAGGCCCACAAACTCGGAGTCAATCGCGGAAAGCGTCGAGCAGGAAAAAAGCTTGATCAACGAAAAAATCCGATATTCGGAAAGTATATCTACCGGTTCTGTAGAAAAAAAGATTGGAAAAATGCTTACATCATCCCATATCCTTAGCCCAAATACGGAGAGCAGGAATCCAGAAGACGTGGACATTGAGAACTGTCAACAACGCGAAACCAAAATCGCATAATAGAATCAATGAGATTCTTGCATAACATACATCTATTTCAATCATTGACGCTTTGTGTAACGAAGAACCCTCTTGAACCTTCACTGAGAAACCTGCTGGCAGTTTTTCTTTGCCAATCTCTCGTTCTACACAGCTAAGTGTTCCGACAGACGTAGAGAGATTTATTGCCATCCAACAAGAAAAGGCTCGAGACTACTGCCAGCAAAGCGACGCGTGGCACTGCTAGAACACGCTCTAGCTGGAAAGCTACTATGCTACAATTTTCATTCACAATCCGTCTTCTCTCCCTCTCCTCAATGTAAGTCAGCTTTTGGTCACTCAGCAAGAGACAGCAGGAAGTTTAGAATCTCATCATTGATGTCCTGTAGTGGAACCATTAATGGAACTTCTCAGAGCCTCAAAAGACGATACGAATTAACCCGACTACACCACCGCTTGCCCCTTTTTTAATATTCAGAACGACTTCACCAACTGCAGTCGCTTACAATTAGTCATCTGATTGTTACGTTTCATGGGCGCCACAGGAGAAACTGAAGCTGAACCAAAAAAAGAAACTCAAGGTGATTCAGAGAAACTTACTTATGCCTCACCAAGAGACTCGAATATTCAACTATCATCGAGAAATCAAAAAAAAAATGGCCTGAGACAGTTGTGTCGAGTGCAATGACTGATTCAAGCGAGATTTATAAATCGACTGCTAGCGACTGCTTCTATTTAGACCATTTTTCTTAAGATTCCAACAAAACAACACAAGATAAGGCAACATTACGGCAATGAGTCGGCTTTCTATAAAAAGGGCAATTCTTTCTTGACAAAAAGTTTACGTTCTGTTTTGTCAAAAACCATTTGCATGCTGGTAAGACCTCATTGGTTATTTTGACGGTACATCTGTAGCATACGACGGGAATCTCCATAAATTGCAAGCAATGAGCTCCTATGAAAAGATAGAAAACAGAAAAGTCCAGAAATCATACGAAGAGAATGATTCAACCACTTTTTCTCAAATTACTGAAAGTCTTTCTTTGTCTATGGCATTTTGGGAAACGAAAATCTGTTCAAATAACTAGAAAAAACTGCTATGAAGCCCGCTCGCAGCAGAGCCTATGGATGTGCAACGGTCGCTGCAACGATTTCCACTGCCTTCTTCACATCAAAACATAGAGAAATGGGTTATTCCTGACCTAGTGAATCAGCGGGCCATGATGAGTGTATCAATTCAAGGATATGTATCATCGGATCATCCCATAAAGCGTTTTTGATGGACGACCCGGTCAACGACAGTTTTCTCCGTCTTTTTCCGCTCGCCATGACCCTGTTCGCCGCCCCTTCTGGAACAGATAACACAATCCGGTGTGCTAGATACAGAACCCTTTTCCTGTTCATGACAAACCGGAAATAAAAACTAAGATCCCAAAATGAGAAAATATAGAAAGCTAAGGAACCATCAAACAAAAGAACTGGGCAAAATTCTGGATACTGAGAAAAACGATATTTTGAAAAAATCGGAGAAGAGAAGGAAACTTCCCACATTGATAAAAAGAAAGAAATTATCGGCACATTATGGCGTAATAGGGGCTTCTTCATTTATTGATTGATCAATCACACTCAAAAACACAGGGAGAAATGAAATTTCTGCGATCGGCTGGCAATAGACTAAATTCTTTCAAGAACTTAGGCAATTAGCTCTATATTGGTCATTACGCTTATACTACAATCTACGTCCGTTTTAGAGAAATGATGATCGCCAGGAAGAGCTGGCAAACACCTTTATGGATGTTTTAAAGAAATATGAGCTACCTGAACGCTAGGTAGCCGGAAAGCGTATCAAATGGGCTTCGATGGGCAAACAACAAGCTCCTAAAGTGGCTCCCACGCCAGAGTGGCATCAGCAAACAGAACGACACGCGTTCCTCATTCCGAACTTCGACGCTACTCAAACAAAGCTTGCCGCTAATCGATTATTCTCGAGAACTTTATATTAGTTAGAGAGTCAACAGAGACAGTAAGGCTGTATAACATACGTAAATTTGAAACAAGCACTTCTACTAGAGCTTTGCATTTCCACTGAAAAGTTGAACTAGAAATGAATTTGGAACTACCGCAATAAAGAATCTCGTTGTAGAAAGTTCAGAAAGACCATTTCTGCGACCTTGTATTGTCGATGACACGGGGTTCAATGCGTCACTGATAACAAAATGCTCCGCAAACTCTCATTCCCCTCTTACCATAACTTTTTCATATGATGACGCTCACAAGCTCTTCAGTCGTCATAAAAGAGAACATACCAGAAATCTTACACGATGTTCATTTTTAGAGAAGACATTGACAGAATAGATCTTCGAAAGTCCGGCTCCTGACAAGAAAGTGTTAAAGATTGAAAACGCAAAAAACTTCATTCATTAAACGATTGTTGCTGTAGCGGAACATGAACCACCGAAAACAAACTGTAAATGTTAAAACACGCTCAAAATCAACCTCATGGCTTCTCCTAGAAAGCTAGATAGGCTAAACCTACGCTTTTTTTACTTCACTAGTAATAAGTTTTTCTAAGTTTTTCTCACATGAGTGCTTTTCAGAATTAATTTTTTCATGGAATCCCAAGACTTTACATTGAAATGTATACTGTCCCTAAAAAATGCACTTCTCTCCACTTCGCAAACATATAAATTTGACTCCATTATAAAAGTTACAGTTGAAGGAGAGTTTCAAATTTGCAGAATGAAATGTCGAGTTGACGGGAATCGCCCAAACCGGCCACTAATCTAAACTCTATCTGTCACACCTAGAAATCAGCCAGTGATCATTTCATAAGTCTTGACTTCTTCAAAACAATTCCCTAATGAGGTGTCCAACAAACCCTTCGATTTTTCAAAGCTGGTTTTTTTGTCAAAGCTTAAAAGCGCTTCACCTACATCCCCCCGAACCCCCTTTTCCACATTATTAGTATATGCGTTCAGCTGACTGGATGTGGTTAAGAAAAATTCTAGAATTAGTTGATAGAGTATTCACTGAATAACGATCCACATAGTACTTCGCGACTTGTTTTCCTCTAAACAGCTTACAAAATCAAGGACTTATATAATCTACGCCCTAATTTACGCCATTATCCCGATGATTTAAAGGCTCTAAGCGCCTTTGTGATAAAGACGAAACCTTCTCCGGCGTTGCCAGACTTGGCAGACAATCAGCAAAATCTCACAGAAAAACCATTCGAAAAAAAAACGTCAGGGCTCATTGGACAGCTCTACAAAGAATGTTTAGGAAAAGCCAGGACTAAGTGAACAGCATATCACTGATTCATTTTTTGGCATAAAAACCGGAGATTGACTTAGGTGCCGGTTTGGCTAGCTTTTGGTGACTAAAACTCCCTTTGAAGTTCGACCCCGGCAATACTACTCTTGCAGCAAAAATTCACACTTTGCAGTGCAGTATGGCTTCCAAATGGTAAACGATATGACTTGATTGCATAAAATTCTAAACAAAAGGGCCGAAAAAACATTACTAACATAACAACCTGGTAGTTACCACGACGTTAGGCTTTGACATCTGGAGTTATTCAGCAGTCACATAAGCCATCGGAGAGCGATACTACCAAAATTTAGGAATGAATGAAAACTCGTCAGCTATAATTCTCGAGAAAAATGGCAGAGGAAGAGTATTAACAAAATATCTGTTACCGATCGCAACACCCGACGACGAAAGAATCGTTCATGACTCTTGGTGAATTCAAAAATAGGGAACTTTTCCGGCAAAGATGGGTTTACTGTTGAGGATATTTTAAGATTAATGATTCTAAAGGACGCGTATTTTATGATTTGGAAGGATTCCGCTTTCAAAATGAACTTATAAGCAAAAGAGAAAGATTTCGCCGAATAAGAGGAAACTATCAAAGGTTTCAACGCATTGTTACAACCTGCTAGCGAACATGATCGGTTAAAGAATACATGATGGTGTTCAGATATGCTTCGCAAACTCATATCTATTTAGGAACACAGGGCTCGACAAGATAATTGAAGCAAGGCTTCTCGAAGAGAGTTCAATAAAAACCTGCGGGAAATTCGCCCTGAAACTGATGAATGTAGACGTGGAACAGTGCGAATCACTGGGATGGTTCCTGGGCGAAACGGGAGCTCCGCCGGCGAACAGTGGGGGCCGGCGGCTACCCAGCGATGAGTCAATGATAGGCCACACAATTAATGTTGGCATTGATCCAAGCCTTGCCTACCAGACACCGCAAAACCTTGCTCGACAGAAGAAGACGCAGACAGTTAGACAGTTGTAGACGCAGAGCGTAAAATCGTTCTAGGACCCAAACCCTTGCATCCCCTTCCCGCCCTTCGGTCACCACCAACGCTGCAGTTGTCAAGTGATTTGCGTGTGTCATTCAAAACGTTGTTGTTTGTTTGTTTTACGTTTTGTGTTACGAATTTTGTTGTCAAATCACATCGTTGACCTTATCCAATATCTGCCGAATGGATAAAGCTGAACAGAAGAGTGATAACGACCGCCGAGAGACTGGTCGGAGTGATTCGTCGTTGAAGTCCAATGGAGATTCCTCATTGCCATCGTCGTCTAAACACAAAATCTCGAACACCACTAGCGATGACATTGTGAAGGATCTCCTCGATGAAGTGAGACAATCGGAAAAGGTTTGCAAGTTATTACTCTCTAACATCGGCTCTAAAAAACGGGGAGTTGTTGATAGCCTTCTTGCCTTGAACTCAGACTGGCTTATTCACATAGCAGGATTAATCCGAAACGGGTATCTTGAATTTGCATCGCTGATTTCCAGTCACTTTAATGTGAAGGGAATGTAGATAATTTTTCTTCACTCCTTTTTTTCACTCAACTGGTTTTTTGAAAGGGGTCGTTTTGTTTCGAATTTGGTGTTGATCGTTGTAGATCCTGGATACTAATTATAGGGAACAGGTTCTGTCTTTTTTCTACTTTGATTCTGTGCTCAGGCACGAAAAATGTTCGTTCCAAATGGAATTGAGCCAATGCTCACCCTGCGTGACCATCCACTTATTCTTTAGCAATATATTTTTCAATGTTTTCACAGAAACTGTGGTTTAGTCTCTATAAAGCTCTAAACTTCTGAGGGCAAGAAAGCGTAGCTACAGTTCAGTTAAGGGCCACATGAATGTGGAGCTGGGGAATGAGTTAGATTCCTCTCAGAAAGTCACGGGTAGGGAAAGGTATTTTACCTTCAGTAAAAGTACGATGGTCTATAGAGGTATATCGGTTCAAAGCAATTGTATTTTGTTTCTTGCAAGCCAGTAGCGTCAGTCAGGGCTCAATCGATTGAATTAGTACATCATTACAGCCATTCTCCGTGGAGGATTTGGCTGCTGCAAAAAAGGCTAAGAAGAAGTCAAAGGAACATAAGCATAAAAAGTCCAAGAAAAAGAAGAAACATCGCTCGAAGCACCACCGTAGTGGCTCGCGTACCCGTTCCCATAAGAAACATCGGAAAAGGTAGTGATTTTAGAGATTTCTT